ATAACTACTGCAGCCATGAGATGTGTTTTATGGTGTACATTATCCTCGTATGTGCAGAAGAGAGAATAATTACAAGGTCACCAGAATGATGGTGTCGACATCTTGTGAAACTTCGTGTGACCACAGTCATACACATGTTTGCTTACTCCTAAGGCTTTTCAAGTGGAAATGATTAAATTGAAAACTCATTCACAATAAAGCAACTGCACAGCTTCTACATAAACCGCATAATGCCGGATGTTGCTGCTATAACTGTTTTGTGGTTGCCTCCTTTATTTCAGCCCCGCTAAATGGCTCCACCTACACAGACTCTCGTAGGCTCACAGATTTGCAGCTTCGGTGTTCTAGGTCACTTTGGCATTGTAATCCGGCTGAAACAATGTGATTGCTACTGGTGCTCGCATTTCGACTTATTTTGACTGGATGGCTGGAGTATCGGCAATCTGGATATCGCGAGTCCCAACAAAGGTATTTGGGAGATGGAGCCGCAAACGTAAAGACTTTCCGGCGGGTAGTTTACGTTTCATATTGAATCGTGCGTGCGGATACTGGATATGGTATCCGATAACATGGTAACGTAAAAAAGTATTCGTATAAGCCGAAAACCCCTAACTGCGCGAGCTTGTTGTGCGCCCGATATCATGCCTAAAATTTAGCACCTCTCCCACTCAGCCGCGTTTGTGCAGCAGGTGTCATACACCTGTACAGTCGATAATCGCATGAAATGGGAGTGCAAGCACGACACTAGAACAAAAAAAACTACGAAGAAAAACGAGGTGAGCAGTCGAGCTTGCTTTGCTTCGCAGAAGTGGAAGCTAAGCTAGCTGCGTCACAGCGAAGTCATAATGGGTGATGCTGCTGTCGTACGGAGGACATCTGACTAACCTCAAGCTCTTTAGTGCCCAGACCATTTATTTGCTTTTGTTTCTTTTTTGCACGTTGCAAAAAGTACGCACCTAGTATTACCAGCATGTACATCTAAAGATTAATCGTGTTTTTCTTGCCGACAACGTAGAATATCGATCGAGGGCACGGCTTCATTTTGAAGTGCGTTAGACGATGAGGTATTTTTACCGAATTATATAACGAAGCTTACCTGGCCGTATCCCATCGTACACGTATGGCCATACAGCGAGCTTCGGAAATATATTTCGATATAAGTTGGGTTATTCTAGTCCATCGTCTGCTTCACATTGTAAACAGGATCATCGAACTTCCATGGTTTGATTACGTTTACTTTTCGCAATTCCTGCCCAGTTGGGTGATCTTTGCCAAGTGGTACATGGCATTGTGAGGCTCTGCGCATGCACGGAAGTGAGCGGTAGCATGGTGGAGAGATGGGAGGACGGGTGACCTATACTCTGAGTTTCCGTTTTGCTAACAGAGATGACGCTACCAGTCCAGAGTGGCAGCGCCCCTAAGCGTTGCTTTGGTAGCCTATAAGAAACGGTTGTAGCCAAGAGCATGGAAGCCACAAGGATATGTGCATCTCGGTTGTGGGGAACCACCCCTCGCCAATTCTTGAACCGGCATAGAGGGCGGTACTTGTACTATACGCTGAAAAATACAAATGGTAGGACACTAGAGGGTGTTACTTGTAGAAAAGAAGGATTGACGTCACACGTACGGAAGGAGAAAGAGACGATCGCACGACTACAATCGCGTACTTTTGGTGGCGCCGTAGGCCAGAGGGCGCTCTATATTACAAAAAAAAAGCGCCGTTTTGGCGCGCTCGCCCATTCAGAGGCTTGGCGACAGGAGATGTACAAGGCTGCTGAGCGGCGTGCGCCCAGGGCGTCGGCGGTCCGCGCTCGAAGAAGAGACCCCCGACATGCAGGCGCGCAAGGCAAAAGCGTGCCACGGAGCTGCATGGTGGTGCAGCCACGAGGACCCTTCAGTAGGGCAAAGGAAGGCCGAAGCGGCGCGGACGACAGGCGGACCCAGCTTCGCCGCACTCACCATCATTCACACCGTGGATATGCTGTCCTTTTTTATCTAATGCTTTCAGTAGCGTTGCAGTTGACGCTCAACAGAAAAATAAGAGAACCCTACACTGCATAGAGTCGAGCTGTAAATATTAAGTTTTGCTGAAACAATGAATCATTGAACACAGTGGTATGAATCTGAGTGCGAAGGGTGATTTTATACGATATCTACCACACACTTCCTTTAGCGTCTGACCTTGCGTACCTAAAAAAAAAAACGCCGGCGTAAGCGAATGTGAACGTGGCTGTAGTGAAGCAACCTTCCTGATGCCTTTGGCTTAAAAGCAAACTCGACAAACAGAAGATCACGCACACAACATATGAGTAGCAGTGATTCGCATCAATTTAGGGCGAGCATGACTTGGCGCGACTGGATGCCTGCCGCATATGTCATGAAACGGACAGCCAGTGCAAGTGTCGCTGATACGCGCGAACCACGAAGTGCGCTAAGCAAATATGCGCCAGAAAGAAAGTCGATAACGAGAAAATTATGAATTGCATCGATGATATGGACACTATCAGCAGAATTTCGCCGCCAGTGTCAGTCACCATATATATATAGATATATATATATATATATATATGACAAAGAAATAAAGAAAATAATCAAGAAAAAGATTATTATGTTTGTACCAATCATATATTCGTCATCCATTGACATCACATGACGACAAATTTGTATACGGGGAGCTAGAAAAATGGCTGCGAGGGCATCATGCAAGGCCCAATATACTACAAAGTAGCGTTGAAGCGCGCGCACGCGGGGCAAAGCGACGCTACGTTATCAAAACGCAAGCACTCTATAGTCTGATGCGAGGCGCGACCAGCGTTCGTCGGAGCGGCCCAGCGGCATCTGGCGAGAAATGCGACATGCTGTATTTCGCACCGATGCGTTACCCAGGCAGCACTGCCTCTCCCTAATTTCGTGACGAGAGACGCCGGATGCGCTGAAACACGCATGCGTCAAAGCAACCCAGCGTGGCGCGCGTCTGCGAGTATGTGGCAGGACCGGTGCCTGGCGTGGCAACGGAAGCGTGACGTGACGAAAGGAACGCCGGCGAGCACGCGCACCACGTCACATCGAAATGTATTGGCACCCTGACTGCGGCATGTAGTCATGTTCTCACATGACACACATCTCATGATTATCATGTTCGTACCAGTCAAATACCGTCGTCATCCATTGGCATTGCGTAATACCAAGTTTAGTACATGTGAAGCTAAAGAAATGGCCGCCAGCGCATCATGAACGCGGTATATAGTCATGTTATTACGTGGCACGGATTTTAAGACTGTCATGTTTACACCAGTCACATTTCTTCGTCATCCATTTACGTACCGTAATACTAAATTTGGTATGTGTGACGCTAGCGTAATGGGCGCGAGGGCATCATGAGCGTTGACGGCAGTCATGTTGTTACAAACACGCATGTCATGATTCTCGTGTTAAGGTCTGTCGCTTGTGTTCGCCATGCAATCATGAAATACCATACCAGTTTTTCAACATGCCGTGTGAACGAAACCGCCGCAAGAGCTTCGACACCACGAACTGTAAATCATGACATTCATGACATACATGTCAAGATCTTCATGTTACGTCTAGTCAAGTATGTTCTTCAGTCTTGTTGTGACATACCAAATTTGGTATCGATACTAATATCGAAACGGCCAGGAGAGCTAAAAGTGGAGGTGGTTATATAGGTAGGTAGATAGATAGATAGATAGATAGATAGATAGATAGATAGATAGATAGATAGATAGATAGATACGCTCAAGGTTGCCGAAGTTCGCTAAGAAATGCTTCGCATTTATTACATAAAAATTAATGAAATAGAAATTAATACAAAAAGTGCCAAAAAATACATGTTTTGCCAACACTGATAACTAAATACCTTTTGGTGCGGCTGAAACATCCCTTGGCAGCTATGTAGTGAGGAGAACGCCCCGTGCCTCTAACCTCCACGACCATTTTATCTTGAATTCTGAGCACGTTATCATAAAACGAGTGAAAATTTTCGTATTTAACGAGTTTGTTTGGCACGCAGTTGGCAACATTACAAAAAGTTACCGTTTCCCAATAATTATTCTGCTTGAGTGCACACTTACACCTATAAAGAAAGAGCATGGAAACTTTTATATGGACATAATGGGTATAAGCAGAGCTATCATTGTTCGCGTAACACTCGGATGCAAAAAATACGTTTTAAAAAAATAGCTTCATAGGCTTGAACCGAATATTGATGTCATAAAGAAAGGTTTAATACGCCCTAAATACGCCAGGCTTTTAGCTTGTGACCTCTTTTTAAATGGTACAAGGTTTTATTGAGCGAGACAAAACAAACATTTTTTCTGAGCTTTTTTTTTGTGTCTAGGTGGCTTCATCTTCCTGTTAAACAGGGGGTCCAGCTCGGCCTATTTAATCACCAACTTGCGTTTGTGCTTTTTTTTCGTCGTATACTTTTCCATGTTTCATGAAGTGTTATTAATTTTTCTTTAATAGGTTGAAACCTAATTCAAGAACTCGAAATTGCATAAAAAGAGCAATGAGTACCAAACGAAAATGCGCGCGTTACAATTACGTAGTGTTAATTGGAAAACAAATTGAGAACGTGAAGTCGCGCAAGCTTTTGAGCGTACTTAGATTACTCAGCATTACGTAATATGTATATGAAAAATATTTATGACAAGATGGTAGGTGTTGTGGAGATGGAAACATTCAGTTTCTGTTTCGGATGCATCTATCTGGGGTTGAAAAATGGTGATATCTTTGTGGGACTCAAGATAGCTACATAGTTTTTGTCTAGGTATTATAAATTGGCTGGGAACTCGGAAATGTGAAATCACCGAAAAATATTTTCTTTCGAAAAATGCGTTTTAGAAGGTGGTGACCCTCGTTTAACTGAGCCTGACAGACGTGAAAAGACATGTTTACTTAACACTTCACACTCCCTTTCCCCACTTCTCTTGCAAACACAAGCGTAATGAAAATAGGCTGTAATAGCAGACAAATAAAACCCCCGCAAATCAGTCTCAGCGTCTTCTAGAGGAACGAAAAACAGCGACAGGTGCTCTTCTTAGCGTACCCGCCTATTTGTACATTAAAATAAGGGTTGCTCTTATATAGTCAAAGTGGCCTTGAGCAAAGACTAGCAGGGCTGACCAAAAAGATCATTTGTGTTTGTTACAATTGATAGCTGTCATAAAATAATTTTTTGAAATTGTAATGACAAGAAAAAAACCACGAGGTAAATGAATAAAAGATTCATTAGTCATCGTGCAATTCATAGTGATATTTTGCACAAGTTCATTAGCATATATTCAAATGCAACAATGCATGATCCGTCTGCTACAAGGGGCTTTATCGAAGGGCAGAGTTAATATGCGATTGTGAACACTTTTCGCCCGAGTGGGCAGATATAGTGGTGATGCCGTGACAATCACAAATCGATTGGCCAAAATCATCATCACCAATTCAAAGACGCAGTCAAAGCTTATGACATGGTACAGCGTCCAACGAAGGCGCTATATTCTTCGAGTAGGCAAGAAGAACGTTCCAATGAAAGAATAAATCAATACGGGCACCACAGTGTAGCCATAGAATGTAGAAAGAAAGAAGAAGCATGCGATCAAGGCACACTGACGAGACATCGAGCGCAGCTGCACTCTGTAGGCATAGCCTGGCTGCGCGTGATCGTCTCCAGAATGTCATAAGACGTCCAAAGAAGGTTTTCACACCGAGAAAAAAGCCGTGAATTGCAAAGGAAGATGTAAAAAACCAACGGAGAGCGTGAATGACAATGTAGCCATGCTTCGAAATGCTACGCTTTGCACGGCTTACTGCGAGCAATAATGTTTTGCTTGAATTTTTCCAATAATCATTCCTAGAGCGTCCCTCACCTACTTCCTGCAGCGGAACGACGTTCGGCGCATTCGAGCCTTGCAGCTTTAGGGCTGACAAAGCCTGAATTTTTGCCTCTCCCAAAATGGGTGATCGGTACCTTGTAGCAGCCATACAATAACCAATGGATATAAGCGATGCATCAATACGCCTTGAATAAATTATGTAGAACTGTTCCATAGCTTACGTCCACTACCACCACAAATGAAGGATACACATTTTCTGTGCACTAAGAAATTCTTGTAGTTATTGTAGTTATTGTAGTTATTGAGCCGTGGAATAGTGATCATTAGAGGCCGGATTTTCAGGCACTAAAGAAGTGTGTTTTAGGCGCCAAAGAGAGGCAGGTAAAACATAGTTTTAGGCCTTCAAAATGATGATGATAGGCACAGTAACTTCATCTAAAATTGCATTAATTAAAACGAAGGACGTCGGTGATTTGTATCTACGACAAGAAAAAAAAAGGTATTGTTTAAGGTAGCACAAATGCGCCAAATGTTGAACACAGACATGCATTTCCCACGAGATTCGCACATTACGGATTTTGTTTTATCGTCCAGCATTGTGAGTCTTGTCCACCGTCGAATCACCCCTCTGCTGGGTCTCTTTTGTTTCGTCGTGGCTGAGAAGGGCAGCGCAGAAGCAAATAACCAGACCACTGATACCCCAGAAGAGAGGGACGCCAGGTTTAATCGCGTAATTTCTTTGCTGTCGGTAAACACCTTAGAGGGCCCCTCACTAGGTTTGGACACTTAAAGCTGACAAGCATGATGGATGCACTCTGCACACAGGGTCATGCCTGTTAAGATTTGGAATGCTACGTGTCGCGGAAAAACGAAAAACTTCTACTGAATGCCACTTGCCCTTCTAGCGAGCGTGCGCTCCAAGATTTAGGGAGTGACGTACAGCGAGTATTTATCCTGTTTTTACTTTGCTCCTTCACGTTGACATTAATGCTCTGGCATCCCTCACCATACTCTCTTCATCAGATCTTGGTTAAATGCTGGCTATATCTGAAAAAAAGACACAAAAAATGTCCCGTCTCCTGAATATATCTGGCACTTTAAGTGGTACCTCATTAAGAGCATTGGACGTGAATTATTGTTAAAAGCGTTGAACGTGAACTTGCGGGTTCTCTTGTGAAGCATGAATGAGGAGTACTTCAGTTGAGCTAACTGCTTCATATCCTTTTGAAAGAAGCGCAAAGACAAAGGGAAAAGAAAGACAGCGATCTTTCTTTTCCCTGAATCCTTACGCTGCTCTTTCAAAATGAGTATCATGAATGAAAGCTGAGAAAAATAAAGCGCGCAAACCTAATGTCAGCTTGCTATTATTTTATTTTTATTTTCAATGGCCGCGAGATCCTATAAACTAATCAGTCCTCATTTCGCGTCCACCTCGGTGGACCAGTGACTATAGGGTGCTCCGCTGATGACCCGAGTATTGCCAGTTCTATTGTGACCGCGGCGGTCGCATCTACATGGAGGTGAAAAGCTAGATGCCCACATACTGCGCGATGTCAGTGTGCGTTAAAGAACACCAGAGGGTTGAAATTTCCGGAGACCTCCACCAGAGCATCCCTCATAATCATATCGTGTTTTTTTTCACGTTAAACCACACATACTACCACTACTACTGCTAGCATTATACTACTACTGCTGCTACCCCATTTCTCTTGCATCTGTCTTCTCGTCGTTCCCGCATCGTGACTTCTCCAACCACGACAGCACTTTGCTTGTGCTTGGTGCGTCCTCTCTGACTGCCATTTCAGCAAAACGACGTCATGTATCACGTTACAATACATGATTCCTTCCAGACTCTCCAGAAGTACGTCTACTGACTGATTCGTCCCACAAATAGGTGATACAAAACACAGCACGCCCAAGCGACCCGACACAATGGCGTGCATGCACGACTAGCTGCGGCAGTCGTGTGCGCGTGACCTTGCTTGCACGTGATGTTCTTGGTGCTTTGCATGATTGGTCCTCCTGCCCCGATACCGAGCTCTTCACGTCATGGTGTTGTAGCTATACGAATCAATTTGAAATATACCGTGTGTAGAACGCTTTATTGGGCATGCAAGAAGTTCTAGTGTCTAACTACAACTTCTTAAGTCACCTAGAGAGGTTTCTTGAGAATTAAATACAAGCAAAAGAAAAGCTGTGTGCACATCCCATTTTTTTCCCGAAGCACCGCTACATGTCAAATAAAACACCGCCTTCGTCGACACAGAACCACCTTCTCACATATAGGCCATTTCATTCTAATATGAAACTAAAAAATAATTAGTTAAAAAATTAGATCTGATACCACATTCTAAAATTTTAACAATTACCACTGTGCGAAGAGGACTGTTTAGGTACAATCATTTCTAATAAATTTTACCGTAAATGTTAGACATAACAGCTTTAACCCACATTATTTCGACGCAATGATAGCAACTTCCATCGTAGTTTTTTTTTATATTTTGGTACAACTGTCATTTGAGTATGCCTTAGACAAACTTTGCAGCCATATTCTGTATTTTATCATGATTATCACTTAAAGATATGTGCAAGAAATCCTACGGCAGAAGCGCATTCAGTCAGTGTGAATGTATGCTAAGTACACCATTCATTGTCAACGTGCCGGTGCGTGCCTCAGGCTCCGCTGTATAAAATATAACGATTTGGCGGCCTTCGCTACCACTGAATCAACATGAGCATTCCAGGAGTGGCCCTCCATGTTTTTCATTCGTTCACCACCTACCCGGGGCTGCACTTAAAAACCAGCTGTTCATCAGTTTTGTCAGGTCACTGGACGTCAGGTCTGTAGAAGATGGCCTTGGCCATAGACGCCCCTCTTATTTCCCATTTTTAGTTTTCTCTCCTTATCCCCCTGCAGACGCTGGTTCTACTTAGGGCTGCCGGAATAGGGTCTTTTGCACTCCTCATGCTCTTCATCCAATCGCTGGCTATGGTGACCACGCAGTACCATTTCACTGCGGTTACCAGTTCTTTAGGGGAAGTTGATAAAACTAGGGGACGTCATTGAACCTCATAGTGTTGGCACATATCAATGTTGCCTTTTCTACTTGAATAACGATTTTAAATCGCACTCGAAAACAAAATTTTGGCTTCAATAGCGCTCACATAGGCGCGTCTTTGAAAAAAGGCATTTATAGGCACTTATGGGCGTTTAGGCACGGACACCTAAGGTAGGCATTTATAGGCAGTATTAAACACCACGAAAGCCCTTCTTAGCCTCTAATTTATGATCGTAAATCAAAATGGCATGATATAAACACAAGGAACAAACTAGGTATTTGCCTCCAATCTGGTCTCTAGTGATCATACATCTACTCCCGTGACTCTCGTATGGCGCACATCAGCAGGAGAAACATGGTCCACGGGCAGAAACAAACGTTCAGTATGGCCTTAATCTTCAGCCATTGAAGCTGCTTTTTTGTTGCTGTTTGCGTGTTCTTCTGTGAACTCCTGCCGACCACAGTCCCTGTGGGCTCTACCAAGAGCTCATCAAGTCCACCACTGATGGGTTTTGTGCAACGGATAGTTTTTTTGAGGGGTCCCTAGCCGTTGGTTACCCCATTCTTGCGTTTAGAATGATTTCTTCAGTTCTCTGGCCCTAACTGGACACATTAACAGAAACCAAAACTTGCGTACGGAAGCAACTTCGGGGTACAATCTTAAAAAAATAGAATGACGTTCTCTCCATTTAGGGAGAACGGCAATGTTCCTGCGGCATACTTTTCTTCTTCTTCTGGCACGACACACTTGGGACATAAGCTAGTAGTGGGTAGTCTGCTGAGGAGAAAAAAAGAAAAGTTGGAACAATGGCGGAGATGCATCAATAAACCGCGCTGTGTTTTCAGAACCACGTTTTAGAGTGCTATATTTATTGGTGACCCGGACTACGAATGCGACCTTCTATGGAGCAGCGTGAGCATCTCGACAGCCTCAGTCCTGGAACCGCTGCCACTGCACCGGCCATGCACCCTCTTCGGGTGTTGTTGGAGGTACTGCTGTCATGACGCTACCACAGCTGTGGCTTGCCGATCCCTCCTTATGGTTCATTCAAGTCGAGAACAAGTTCCGCATTCATCGATCACGTCAGAAGTTCGCAAGCATGAGCTCCTGGTAGAAGCGTTGCCGCCACA